CCAGACCACAGCAGAGAGCTGGATCAGCCAGGAGCTGACAGGACTCAAACCGGTGCCCACATGGAATGCTGGCACTGCAGGCGACAGCATTACTTACTATGCCACAGCGCCAGCCCCAAAAGCCCAGTCTTCTAATTCATCACCTTAGGGTGATGAAGTCTGGAGGGGGAGATGGGGAGTGTGGTGTAATGAGAAGGCCATGCCAAGATGGCTGCTGGTAACAGAGCCAGACTGGCAACAGGCTGTGACTGGTTAGGGCATATACCGCCCCTTGACCGGATTAGCTGCCTAGGCTATATAAGCTGCTGTAGCAACTGAAATAAACGAGTCTGTGGGCTGCTCACCTCTGGCCTGCTTTCACCCGACTCCTGGGGTCTGTGTGGTGACTCTGCACCTCTTGCCCCCACCATGCTCCTCCTCTCAGAACGATTCCACTGCAACAGGGGAGGAGCTCAGTCATTCAGTCCATGACAAATACATCAATTTATATGCTTTAGCTAGCAACCTTAGTGCTTGTAATTGACTGACATGTTTACTTCCAGCCTCACAGTCTGTGCACCTTCTGGCTCTACCCACAAAGAGGCCAGAGTCCTCTTTCACTGCCTCCAGATCTGAGGACTCTGATTAACCAGTGTACAGATAGCAACAGAGGGGCTGACATTGTGGCATAACAGGTTAAGCTGCCGCCTGCAACACCAGTATCCCACATGGGCACCAGTTTGACTCCCAGCTGTTCCACTTCTGATCCAGCTCTCTTTAATGTATCTGAGAAAACAGAGGAAGGTGGCCCAAGTTCTCTGGCCCCTGAACCCACGTGGGAGACCCAGAAGAAGTTCCTGAATCCTGCCTTCAGCCTGGCTCAGCTCCATTTGTGGCCATTTTGGGAGTGAACCACTGGATGGAAAATATCTCTCTCTCTCTCTCTCTCTCCCTCTCCCTCTCTCTCCCTCTTTCTCTAACTTTGCTTTTCAAATAAATAAAACAAATCTTTAAAGAAAAGATTTTTTCACACATTCACTCATGCTTTCACACACATATATCCTCAGACACACACTCAAGCACACCCACACCCTCTCTCACACAACCATAAACATGCTAGCACACACAAACACATGCTCACACAACCCACATACATGCTTACACACTCCAACACACATGCACACATACTCTCCCACATGCTCACATATACATCACACACATAATGTGTGCATATATTTTTCTTTTTTTTTTCTTTCTTGACAGGCAGAGTGGACAGTGAGAGAGAGACAGAGAGAAAGGTCTTCCTTTTTTGCCGTTGGTTCACCCTCCAATGGCCGCCATGGCCGGCGCACTGCGCTGATCCGATGGCAGGAGCCAGGTACTTCTCCTGGTCTCCCATGGGGTGCAGGGCCCAAGCACTTGGGCCATTCTCCACTGCACTCCCTGGCCACAGCAGAGAGCTGGCCTGGAAGAGGGGCAACCGGGACAGACTCCAGCGCCCCGACCGGGACTAGAACCCGGTGTGCCGGTGCTGCAGGCGGAGGATTAGCCTAGTGAGCCGCGGTGCCGGCTGTGTACATATATTTTTCAACACACTCCCCATCTGTTTCAGTCTGTTTAGTGTTATCATAATGAAATACCCAAGGTTACGTAACTTCACAAAGAAAATAGGTTTATTTCATTCACAGCTCTAGGTGTTCTTGCTGGCAGAGGCCCGAGGCAGGACAGGGACCCCACCTGGGTGTGTGTCCTTCAGCGTCTCTGTCTCTCTTCTTACAGATTACCAGGATTCAGTCTCGCTGAGTAACCTCATCACCTCCCACAGATGCCACCTGTAGGCTCTGAAGTCCTATTAAGTTTCCAGCCTCTTAGTGCCTCACAACAGGACTTACATTTGAACACATGAATCCAGGCGGCCCTCCAACCACATGCAGACCACAGCTGCACCTTGCACATCTTAGGATCCCTGTTTGCCCATGGCCTCTCCCCTCCAGTAGAACCTAAGCTTCCTACAGGCCAAGTTCTTGTCATTTCATTCTCTGTTATGTCCCCAGCAGACAGAGAAGAACTCAGAACATGGGTTGCACTCTTCTGCGCTCTCAGAAGCAGGTGAAGAGCAGTGCTCCATGCTGGAGCCTGGCTCCAGGTGAGGTCATCTCTGATGACAGCCAGGTCCTTGGAGGAAGTGGCGTCTGATAATGGTTCCATGTGTTTACGGTCAGAAAGCGATAACATTGTAGGGAGTGGGAGGGGAGGGATGTTAGGTGGAGCAAATTTCTTTACCTTTGAATGCTATGATTTGAATTCACACATCAAATGCCCTCAGCTCCCACCCAGTGACCTGTGGCCCTCAGCCCCATCCCCACTACCGCTCCCCTTCTGGGACCTGCAGTTATGAGGTCCCCTGGCTCAGCACTGGGGAGACTGGCAGATTGGCCATCGTGGTCACAGTGCCTCCCATTCCCTCCTAGCCCATGTGGGAGGCACCACCTCCAGGGAGGCCAACAAAGGGGCTGGCGAGGAGTGAAGCTAGGTGCAGCTGCTAAGGTATCAGGTCTGCTGCTGTCCCCATGCTTTGGTGTAGACAACCTGAGAGCCATCCTGTGTCCCAGGGTGTGGCAGGAAATGGATGGAACCAAGAAAAGCATGAGTCTGCTTGATGGGTTTCTGTAGGATTTGAGTGGTCATGGGTCCTGGCCACATCTTCCTCACTGCCCCAAGCAAGAATCCCCTAAGGGAGCTAGCTGGCCCCCTAATCTCCCCTGCCCAGTAGTGCTCCCCATCCCCACCTGCTTCTCAGCCAGGGGGAGCACTGGATGGCCTTGGCCTCCTGCTCTCTGGAGGTCTCCATCCTGAGTGAGGCTCCATGAGGTCAGCCCATGCCAGTCGCTGCCACACAAGCCAAGACTCTGCAGTGAGTACACAGCTGAGGAGCTCATCCTGACCTCTCCCTGTGTTGACTGCTTCAGTTCCCTAAACCTCTTGGCCTGGGAGCACAAATCCTCATCCAAGAAAACCTTTCAGTTCTACAACCACTGACTTCGCTGAGTTTGAACTCACATAAAGCAACACCTTCTCCAGGAAGCTTTCTTGGACCTCCTCAGCCTGGGACCTCCTGTGCACGCAGTGCCCTTGTCCAGAGCTCTAACCTAGCACTGCCCCCACTGGATACAATCTGTCGGCTCAGTTGTCCACCTCCTCAGATCTGAGCCACTTTCTTTCTGTTTTTAAGATTCATTCACTTAATACACAGTTATTCTTAAGTGTTGAAATTTAACTGAAATGTGATCCCTGTTAAACATAAGAGTGGGAATAAGAGAAGGAAGAGATGTACAATTTGGGACATGCTCAAGCTGACTTGCCCCAAATGGTAGAGTTAGAAACATACCAGGGGACTCCAATTTAATCCCATCAAGGTGGCATGTACCAATGCCATCTCACTAGTCCAAGTGATCAATTTCAGTTCACAATTGATCATAATGAAAGGACTAAGAGTCAAAGGGAGCACATAAACAAGTCTAGTACCTGCTAATACTAACCGATAGAATAAATAAAGGGGAGAGTGATCCAACATGGGAAGCGAGATACTCAGCAGACTCATAGAATGGTGGATGTCCTAAACAGCACTCTGGCCTCAGAATCAGCCCTAAAGGCATTCCGATCTGGCTGAAAAGCCCATGAGAGTATTTCAGGCATGGAAAGCCAAGACACTCTGGCAAAAAAAAAAAAATAAATAAATAAATAAATAAAAAATAAATAAAAAATAAAAAAAAACAACAACAACAAACACCTAAATGAAAGATCTCTGTGAGTGAGATCCCAGTGGAAAGAACGGGTCTTCAAAGAAGGAGGTACCTTTCTCTGAAGGGAGGAGAGAACCTCCACTTTGTCTATGACCTTGTCTAAACAAGATAAGAGTCGAAGAACTCAAGGGGCTTCCATAGCCTTGGAAACTCATGACTGCTGCATAGGGAGATTACTGATGCCATAGACAGGAGTGTCAATTTGTAAATTCAACAACAGGAGTCACTGTGCACTTACTCCTCATGTAGGATCTCTGTCCTTAATGTGCTGTACATTGAGGCTTAATGCTATAACGAGTACTCAAACAGTATATTTCACTTTGTGTTTCTATGTGGGTGCAAACTGTTGAAATCTTTACTTAATGTATACTAAACTGATCTTCCTTTAAAAAAAAAAAAAGAAGAAATTATCAATTCCCAACTTGACTCTCACTGGGATTAAACATGACAATAGGTCTGATCTGATTTCATCATCATTTAAAAAATCATTTATTATTTTTCACCTTATGTTTCTGTGTGGGAGCAAACTGTTGAAATCTTTACTTAATGTATGCTAAACTGATCTTCTGTATATAAAGAGAATCGAAAATGAATCCTCATGTGAATGGAAGGGGAGAGGGAATGGGAAAGGGGAGGGTTGCGGGTGGGAGGGACGTTATGGGGGGGAAGCCATTGTAATCCATAAGCTGTACTTTGGAAATTTATATTCATTAAATAAAAGTTAAAAAAATGCCAATTTCAAAATAAAAATTCATTCACTTATTTGAAAGACAGAGTGAAAGAGAGAGAGAGAGATCTTCCATCCACTGGTTTGCTTCCCAAATGGCTCTAACAGTCAGGACTGGGTCAAGCAGAAACCAAGGGCCAGGAACTCAAGCCTGGTTTCCCACATGGGTAGTAGGGACCCAAGTACTTGGCCCATCTTCTGCTGCCTTCCCAAGTGCATTGGCAGGGAGCTGAATCAGAAGCAGAGCAGCCAGAACTCAAAACCAGCCTTCTGAAATGGGATGCCAGCATTGCAATCAATGGCTTATCCCATTGTGCCACAATGCCGGCTCCTGTCAGCCACTTTCAGGCTCCCCAGGAGTTACAGGTCTGAAAGACATCTGGGACCTTGAAAGGGTAAGTGGAAAGGGAAAGAGATGGGTACAGGTAAGCAATGGGAAAATGCAGAAAAAGAAGAAGCTCTTTTTTCTTTTCTTTTTTTAAATCTGACAGAGTTATAGACGCCCATATGGGATGCCAGCGCTGCAGGCGGAGGATTAACCAAGTGAGCCACGGTGCCGGCCCCAAGAAGCTCTTTTTTCCACTAGCGTTTCTCAAGGAAAATATGTTTGAACTATACCAGGCCAGGTAAGATTCAGCTTAAGCAGGTGGAACCTGGAGAGAGGGAGGAGGCTTCTGAAGGAGGGGATGGTGGAAAAGACAGGAAGGTAGACACAGCCCCTGCCTGCTGCCACCTGCCAGCTGTGTGTGGCCTTGAGCGAGTCCCCTCAGCCCTGTGCGAATGGGAAGACTCACAGCACCTCTTTCCCCACGAATCCGTGTGAGCCCAGGGCTCGGGACAGTGCTCGGTGTATGCAGTACATCACTAACACTGCTGCTGTGAGATCCAATAAGAAATGGAGCAGAAATTCAGAGACAGAGGATTGGAAAAGGAGCAGCCAGACCTTTGTTTTGAAAGCACCTACTCCCATCCCAGAATTCTCTGGCACTGTCAACTAGGGCCTCCCAGTGTTTCCGGTCTGTTCTGAAACTTTGTTGAGCAAGAGTAGCCTCAAAAACTCACTAAACCTCTTCATTCAAGTGTCTAAAAGGATTTGCATTTTGACAATGAGTAAGATTCCTGTCAATTTCATTCTTGATTGAAAAAAAATACAGAGCATAGATAAACTGTATAAGCAGTGAAAATACATACACAGAACCACAAACGCTCAAGAAGGGATGCCAAATCATATTTCTTTGAAAATGGTAGCTACATGAGATGTATAAGCTGGCTAATTAAAATGTTCACATCTATTTATCTGGTGTTTCTTCTCTCTGGCTTTGCTGATTAAAGTAAGCTTTAATTGAATTTACATTGTCATAAAATCACAGAGAAAAAATATTAATATGGAGAGACATAAGTATATAGGATTAAAATATACAATAGTATGTCTGTGTTGAAATTACTTGCCTTTAATTTCTGTTAGTCATTTATGTGTCAATGTCTCACCTTCTTCTTTGGTTGTTTTTTCTTTAAAAAAATTTAAAAAAGGGACCAGCATTGTGGTATAGCAGGTAAAGCCACCATCTGTGACACCAATATCCCATATGAGCACCAATTCATGTCCCGATCCAGCTGCCTGCTAATGGCCTGGGAAAAGCAGCAGCAGATGACCCTGCCACCCATGTGGAAACCCCAGATGACAGATACATGTGGGAACCCCAGATGAAGTTCCTGGCTCCTGACATCAGCTTAGCCCAGCCCTGGTCGTAACAGCCATCTGGGGAGTGAATCAGTGGATGGGTGATCTCTCTCTCTCCGTTTCTCCCTCTCTCTCTCTGTAACTTTGACTTTTAAATAAATAAGTAAATCTTTTTTAGAAAAATAAAAAAGGAGCAGGTCCTTGGTGCAGCAGTTAAGACACTGCTTGGGCCAGCGCCGCGGCTCACTAGGCTAATCCTCCGCCTTGCAGCGCTGGCACACCGGGTTCTAGTCCCAGTCGGGGCGCCGGATTCTGTCCCGGTTGCCCCTCTTCCAGGCCAGCTCTCTGCTGTGGCCAGGGAGTGCAGTGGAGGATGGCCCAGGTGCTTGGGCCCTGCACCCCATGGGAGACCAGGATAAGTACCTGGCTCCTGCCATCGGATCAGCGCGGTGCGCTGGCCGCAGCACGCATTGGAGGGTGAACCAACGGCAAAGGAAGACCTTTCTCTCTGTCTCTCTCTCCCACTGTCCACTCTGCCTGTCAAAAAAAAAAAAAGACACTGCTTGGGACATCTGCATCCTCTAGTCTAGCTGAGTGCCTAGATTTGAACACCAGCTCCACTTCCAATTCTAAATTCTTTTGATGTGAACCCCAGGAAGCATCAGGTGGTGGCTCAAAAACTTGGGTCCTTGACACCCATATGGGAGACCCAGATGGAGTTCCTGCCTCCTGGCTTCAGCCTGGCCCAGCCCTGGCTGTTGTGGATATTTGGGGAGTGAACCAGCAGATGGAAGATATTCTCTCTCTCTCTCTCTCTCTCTCAAACAAATTTAAATACATATTTTTTGAAGTTTGTGAGGAATTGAATTAAAAGATAAGTATAAAAATACTAAAGTTAAGCCACATAGAAAAGAGTTGCCACTAAAACTCTCCTGTGTTTGTTGAACAGCTCCCTCTAGAGTCTCACTGGTGGCCCCCCAGACTCACATAGATGATGAACCTAAAGCCCAGAAAAAGGAGAGGAAAGTGGATGCCACAGGCTGACCCAAAGCAGGAGGCTCAAGAAGGCATCTTCCAAGTTGACCATGTCCAGGTGGTCCCCAAGTGTCCAGGTCTCCTCCTCCCACACCAGGGTGGAGACTTCCCCTCTTCTCTCACCTCTCCTCTCACCCTCTGTGTGTGGTGCTGTGGGGTGTGCAGCCACCCAGGTCAGCAAGTCAGTCTGTCATTCACGTTTGAGACTTGGAGCATTCCTTTAGCTATGGAGCCCCAGTTTCCCCTTTTCTAACCACAATGCATGTAGAAAGTATCTTATGGGTGTCTTCCACTAAAATGGGGAAGTAAACTGGAAAAAACTGGGGTCCAGAGATCTGGAGATCCAAAGGAAAAGCACAGCAAATGGGGTCTCCAGGGTGGCTAAAGAGGGTGCAGGATGACAAGTGGGCACAAGGGCAGCCAGTCCAGCCTGGAACACAAGCCTCAGAGACAGGAGTGGCAGGCAAGGGGTGGGCCAGCAGGGAGGTGGGGGGAAATCTATGTCCCAGTCTCTGAATCAGAAAGAACAACTGAAGGATGAGCTCCTGCAAAACAAGGGAGTAAACCAAGGAAGAGGAAGATATAGGAACAGGGAAGTCACATGGGAAAAGGGTAGAAGACCACAGATGACAGCTGCAGCAACCCAGACAGTAGCCACCCCAACAGGAAGAAACGAGACCCCAGAAGGGACTCACCAAGAGAATCTGGATCTGCCTGGCCTTGGGAGGGGTGGCTGCAGGGCATGTGGGTAGTCAGGAGTTTATTTATAAGCAAATGGTGGAATAACAGAATTACTGACTCTAAGAAAACAGTAGGGGCCGGCATTGTGGCACAGCTGGTAAAGCCACCACCTGTGATGCTGGCATCCCATATGGGCTCCCATTAGCACTCAGTTGCTCCACTCCCAATCCAGCTCTCTGCTGATGTGCCTGGAAAAAGCAGCAGAAGATGGCCCATGTGTTTGGGCCCATGCCACCTACATGGGATACCTGGATGAAGATCCTGGCTCCTGGCTCCTGGCCCCTGGCTCCTGGCCCCTGGCCCCTGGCTTTGGCCTGACCCAGCTCTGGCTGTTGCAGTTATTTGGGGAATGAACCAGGGGATTGAGGATAAGTCTCCCTGTCTCTCCCTCTCTCTCTTTGTAACTTTGACTTTCAAAATAAATGAATATCTTTTTTAAAAAAAAAAAAGGAAAGAAAGCAGAAAGTAAGAAAACCATCACAGTGCATGAAATTCTTACCTGCAAATGATGTTTGCATCAGCAGGATAATGTGAACAGGGAAACTGGGTTTATCGAAATATTACACTCTGGGGAAGGGCACGAGAAGAAAGGGAGAGAATGTGATGATGGATGAGAAGGATAGGACGTCAATAAATAGTGGCTAAGTCGATAAAGTGACATGAAAACAGCATCAGCACATAGTTTAGAACCACGAACTTATTGAAATGCCAACAGGAACAACAACGAGAGCTGAAAGTAGTTGCCTCTGAAAAGGGCAAGGACAGGAAAGGGGTATGCTGGGCACAGGGAACTGCTGTGCTTTGTGCTTCCACACTTGAATCATTAAGCTTTGAGTATATACTACTTTGATAAAATGCAAATGCACATAGGGCCAAGCATTGTGGCACAGTGGGTTACGCTACTATTTGCAATGCTCGTAACCCATATCAGAGTGCCTGTTTGAGACCTGGCTGCTCCACTTCCAATCCAGATTCCTGTTAACGTGGCTGGAAAGGCAGCAGAAGATGGCTCAAGTACTTGGGCCCCTGCCACCCATGTGGGAGACCTAGATGGCTCTTGGCTTCAGCCTGGTCCAGTCCTGGCTGTTGTGGCCATTTAGGGAGAAAACCAGTGGCTGGAAAATCTCTCCCTTCTCTGTCTATCTGCCTTTCCCTCTCTCTCTCTGTCTCTCTTACTCTGCCTTTCAAATAAATAAATACATTTAATAAATAAATAAAAACAAAAATTGCAGTAGTGAATATATTGATATTGTAAGTTCTGTATATTGCAACAAGAGTACAAAATGTCTCAGAATTGTACACTGCAAGAAGATCCACTTGTGATTTGGCTCCACTTATGTAACATATTTCCATAAATCTACTTTTCTGGGTCACACAACAAAGAGAAGCTAATAAAGGCAGCTTTTCTTAGCAGGAGTATTAAGTAAATAATGAGAAAATCCCAGATACTCACAGCTCCTATAAAGAAAGAAATTCATAAAAAAGTAGCATTTCCTCACGTCCATGAGCATGGACAAATGACGGGAGTAGAGGGGAGAGCAAAGAAGGGAGAAGAGAGGAGATGAAAAGCACTTAAAATCGTTTAAATCCCACATTTTAATTCTTCCCAACCTTTTCATCTTCTATTTAAATATCTGCCCTTTCTCGAACAGATGAATGTTCATTTATTCTAAAAAATCTTTTGTCTGCCTTTTCCAGATTCTCTTAGGATTCTTTCTCCATCCATCAGTGTCAGAATCTTCACCCCAATGTAGTTGACCTTTCATGCCCCAAACAAATTGTGGTACAAAATCCAAAGCGGCCCTCATCCAACAAATACACAGGAGGCACTGCACATATGCTAGGCATGACCGTAGGAGCCAAGGATTCCATGTGGACCACGAACAGTCTGGTTTCCACTCCGGAGCTTACAGTTCCTGGCAAAGGCAGCAGTGGCTCAACCAAACAGCTGTGACATCACACGTGTGAGAAACGCTGGAATCCCGGCTGAGCAGGTGCTCAGCGTGCGTGATGCTCCGGCCAAGGATGACAGAGCTTTCCTCGGCCAAAGAGGAGGACAGGGTGTGTGTGCCCAGGCCTGAGGCTCGTGCCAGGCGCTGAGCATTGGTGCTGAACCCTCATTGCTTTGGCTAAGTTCAATGATGTGGGGGAAGGGGGAGTGTTTAGCCTCGCCGCTGTGTCTCCTGGAGAACACAACAGCCAGGCAGGCCACGGAGGGCGGGTCTCAGGGCCGAGGGGGATGTCAGGGCTGTGGGCCAGAGCCCTTACCGCAGCACCCAGGGCGCGGAACGCACGAGGAAGGAGGTGGTGGCTCAGGCGCGCACGCTGAACTGCCCCGAGGCGGGGCCTCGGCCACTTCCTGTCCACGTGACGGTCGCCACTAAAGGTTTGGCGTCCTCTCCAGTCCGCCTAACGCTCTGGCGTGGGCCCGGGATTATGTGGGAACGGCAATTACGTGGACCATTGTGTACATGGGACGGTATCGACTGACAGGAATCAAAAGAGCGAGGAGGAGCAGGAGAGGCGGCCAGGCCAGCCCACCGCGTGCGCGGGGATGCGGCCCCGGGGCCTCTCTGAAGAGGAGCCCGCGGAGAGGGAGGCAGCCGGACATTTTGCAGTTCGAAAGGGACAGTCCGGCAGCCGTGGAGAGAGGGGCTGGAGGGTTGAACGAGGCAGCTGAGGAGGCTTTGAAGCAGTCAGCGAGAGAGAGAATAGCACCCCTACACCAGGAGGGGTCAACAGTCCAAGGCGACAGCTCCGAGAGAGGACCGAGTGTCCATGCCTGTGTGCGCAGCCCCTCCTGAAGCCTTGCAGGACCTTTCGGGGCCCAGCCGCTGCCTTTGGGAGGTGAGGAGACACACAGAGTGGCCAGCAGGGGATGGCCTTCCGCACGCTCCTCCCAGGCCCGGGATTCCCGACACCTCTGTGACACTGGGGCGCTGCTTGCCGTCTCTGACTCCTAAGACAACCAACTCTCTGGACGGGTCAGTGGAGGTGGTGACCAGGTTCGCGCAGCTGGTTGAAACTGGCCGGCCTCCCTCCAAACTTGTGAATTTTTCCTGCTTCCTGTGAAGGTGAGTAGTGATCAGATACAGTAAGCAGAAATTTCTGTCGGAGGAAAAGTTGGCTAGTAAGGGTGAGATTCCCCGGGGAAGCCTGAAAGGAGCTGAAGCAATGAAGTAATCATATTAAAAAAAAAAAAAAAAAAATCCTGGGATAGTTGCATACGATAAACGCACAGGTTTTTTCTTTTTTGTTTTAAAGATTTATTTATTTATTTGAAAGGCAGAGTTACAGAGAGGCAGAGGCAGAGAGAGAAAGAGAGAGAGAGAGAGAATCAGAATCAGCCGGTATTCCATCCACTGGTTCACTCCCCAAAAGGCTCAATGGCCAGGGCTGAGCTGATTCAAAGCCAGGAGCCAGGAGCTTCTTCTGGGTCTCCCACATGAATGCAGAGGCCAAAGCACTTGGGCCATCTTCCACTGCTTTCTCAGGCCATAGGAAGGAGCTGGATTGGAAGAGGAGCAGCCGGGACTCGAACCAGCACCCATGTGGGATGCTGGCACTGCAGGCAGCAGCTTCATGTTACAACACAGTGCTGGCCCCAACACACAAGTCGTAAAAGTACAGTTCAATAAGCTCTGAAAATAGAAGGTACCCATGCACTTAGCACCTTGATACAGAACATTTCTCTCATTTTAAAAAGTTCCCTTCTGGCCACTTCCAGGATGTCCTCTTCCCCCACCCAGAGGCAGCCTCTCTTTTGGTTTTTTCTTCTTTCTTTCTTTTCTTTTTTTTACTTATTTTATTTTTTTAATTAGTAAGGCAGGCTGGGGACACACACATCCTTCAACTGCTGGCTTGCTACACAATCTGACAGATCTCTCACATGGGAGGCAGGAGCTGAGCACTTGAACCATCTTCCACTGCTTTCCCAGGCCATGAAGAGGGTGCACGATTGAAAGTGGAGCAACTTGGACTTGAACCTGAGCTCACATGGGTTGCAAGCATGTAACCCACTGCACTAGTATGCTGGACCCATTTCTTTTGATTTCTGTTCCCATGGATTAGTGTTGATTATTGTTGGGCTTAATAAAAATGGAATCCCATGGTATGTGTTCCTATGTGTCTGGACAAGTGGGACATTTCTGAGATTCATCCACACTATGTCTGCATTGGGAGCTTGCTCCATCCTTTTGCTGAGTGGTAGCCACTTTTAAGTGGATGATTACTATGGTTTCTCAGGCTTTGCCACATTATAAGTAATATCTTACGGATTGAAAGTATATATTTTAAAATTTAAATTTCATGGGTTTGCTGTGATCTTGTTTCTCTTATACAACAAGGGCGTTAGAACTGAGAGCGAAAATATCTCTTTTTCCAAGTCACACATCAATAAACTGACAGCGTCCAAGACCAGAATTTCTGACAGTAATTGGTGGATTCTGCTCCCAGTGTTGATAATTAAGGCCATCTGCTTCCAAGTGTCATCTCAGAGGGAAACGAAATCCCCATGGCAAGGTAAAGTTTCTACAGGCTTAGCTGATGTTGGCAGATTGTGAAAGTGAGGAAGTATTTTTGTGGAATTGCAAATGAAGAAGACACACTGAGGAAAATGAAATGGTTTTCCCTCAAAAGAGAAGGAAATGTGTTTTCTGAAAGTAAATGTACACATAGTCCTTTAAAAGGGCGTTTGACCCCTGAAAATGCTATGGCCATGTAGAAACACTGACCGCCACCCAGGTGCCAAGTGAAGATGAAGTCACAGAAGACTGAGTGGGCAGGAAGACAGGACAAAAGCTCCAGGGTAACCGCAGAGATGGAAGAGTAGAAATCATAGTTGCCTCCTCACTGTGAGGATGTGGACACAAATGAGTGCCCCTACCCTTTCTGTAAATTTTGATTTCACAAAAAATATGCGTATGTTCAGAGGAAATGAAGGAGAAAACGCTCTGAGTTGGCCAAACATGCATGAGTTCTAGGAGTGTGAGTAATTAGGGTTGTGAGTGACGAACAAGTTTCCTGTACAAGCCCCTTCAGAAAATCTCAGCTCTCTAATACAAACATTGCTACTGTATAAGTTTCCCTCTCCTCCTGAACATTGACTAAACATTATAATTTAATTTCATAATTTAAATTTAAAACCACCCAACATCCATTTTCAGATTTAGTGGCAGATAATCTTTGTGTATTCCAACAAAAGAGTTTTAGAGCGACTGAAACCGCTGGCATTGGGCCAAAGCATCCTGCGAGGGACAAAGAAAGGAGGCAGAGAGTGGTCACCCGGCCCTGCAGCCACAGAAAGCACGTGGAGCGCAGAGTTCCAGCCCTTCTGAGCAGCCGTGTCTGCAAGTGCTGACAGCAGAAGCCTTTTTCTGGAACTGGTTTGATTTACAGAAGCAGGGTAGGCAAGAGTCCCTGAGAAGCCCACAGATGAGCCATATTTGCAGGCAGGAAAGCCGGTCTCCATGACAACAGAGAAAGAGCCCGGATTGTGAGTCCTGAAAGGTTTCTCTGGCCCTTTTCCTACTCCCCTCAGCAGGAACCTCTGAAAATGCCCCATCCTTCAAGTGCCTCGCCTAGGACAATTCAGCGTATTCCATGATGAGTGAGGCTAAGAAAAGAAAAACAGGAGAAGGCTTGACCCAGTTTCAATACAAAGATGCTGTTTAAACTATGTGGGAAAAGCATCAAAACTTATCAACAAATGAAAAATGTGAATTTAATGACCCTGAAAATATATACATGGAGATAATTCAAATTATGACCAAGCAAGAGCATGAATTCAGAAAACTGATGTCGTAGCCAGGAAAGTCACACAGCAAATGTCATCTAAATTCGTCTCACTTCCAGCAGATAATCACAAGTACACAACTAAACACCAAAAAATATAATGCTATAGACTTAAAAATTGGTGGATACTATCACTAATGCAAAATTTCGCATAGTAAGAAACTAATATGTATCATCCAAAAAATCAAGGAAATGGGGTATTATTATACAAGCTGATCATTTTAAAGTTATTTCTAGAATAGAAATACAAACTTTCTTGAATTTTATTAGAAACCCACAGAATACAAAATAAATAAAACAACTTCGTGAAAGATTTTCAAAAATTATGAAAAGAGAAAAGAATTGGCACAGAAACTCCATCTAAATACAAATAAAAGGAGATCAAGGCTACAAACTTCATAGCCGTATGATGGAGTTCAGGTGAAAAGTGTTACCCAAGAACTAAAGGGGCAGTTTGTGATATAGAGAGTACAATTCACAAGTTAGTTATTGGTTTGTAAAAGAAAAACAGCTTTGGATCGTGTATTGTGATTAAGCTGCCACTTGGGATTCCCACATCCCATATCGGAGTACCAGTTTGAGTCCCAGCTGCTCTGATTCCAATCTGGATCCCCACTAGTGTGTCTGTGAAAGCAGCAGAAGATGGCCCTAGTGCTTGGTTTACAGCTACCCACAGGGGAGGCCCAGATGAACTTCTTGGCTTCTGGCTACGGACTGGCCCAGCCCTGATTGTTGCAGCCATTTGGGGAGTGAACCAGAGGATGGAAAATCTCTCTCTCTTTCTCACTCTGCCTTTCAAATAAATCAATAAATGCTTTTAAAATCCCTAGTGTAAATAAACATATATATATGTATCTTTTTTCAACTAGAATTTAAAAAAAATTCTCATAAGTACTTTCATTAAGAGTAAATAGAAGCCACCATTGAAGAATTTTGAGAAAACAAAACTGAGTTTGCTATACAGGTATATTAGAGTCTGGCTGTAGGGTTGAACCTAAGCAGAACCCAGAATAAAATCCATAATTTTATATAAAAATAAATTTAAACAAAAGTAAGAATAAAAGTACTCAAAATGTTAAAGAATTTCAAGGAAACTCCAAAGGACTAAAGATAAAAATTAATGAACTTGAAAGCAGAAAAACAAAAATAAATAAATCCAGAGGTTGATACTTTTTTTTTTAAGAAATATTTTTTTTTATTTGACAGATAGAATGAAGCAGTGAGAGAGAGAGACAGAAAGGTCTTCCTTCCATTGGTTCACCCCCCAAATGGCCGCTACAGCCAGAGCTATGCTGATCTGAAGCCAGGAGCCAGGTGCTTCCTCCTAGTCTCCCATGCGGGTGCAGGGGCCCAAGCACTTGGGCCATCCTCCACTGCCTTCCTGGGCCACAGCAGAGAACTGGACTAGAAGAGGAGCAACCAGGACTAGAACCCAACGCCCATGTGGGATGCCAGTGCCGCAGGTGGAGGATTAATCAAGTGAGCCACAGCGCCGGCCCCAGAGGTTGATACTTTTAAACAAACTAGTACAATAAACAAATCACTAACTGAACTAACCAAAAAAAAAAGAAGAGGAAGAAGCAAATACACAAAAATAAGAAAAAAGGAAAAAATAAGCAAATACGATGCTGAAATCTGAAAACACTACATGAAAGAGAAAAATTACACAAAAATATTTATAAATATTGACTTTTTTAAAGATTTATTTATTTACTTGAAATTCAGAGTTACACAGAGGATAAGAAGAGGCAGAGAGGGAGAGAAAGAGAGAGGTCTCCCATCTGCTGGTTCACTCCCCAATTGGCCACAATGACCAGAGCTGGGCCGATCCAAAGCCAGGAGCTTATTCCAGGTCTCCCATGCGGGTACAGGGGCCCAAGGACTTGGGCCATCTTTTACTGCTTTCCTAGGCCATCGCAGAGAGCTGGATCAAAAGTGGAGCAGCCAGAACTTGAACCGGCGCCCATATGGGATACCAGCACTGCAGGCGATGGCTTTACCCACTACTCCACAGAACTGGCCCCTATAAATATTGACTTTAAAAATTTTAAATAAGAGCTTAATAGAAAAGTCTAGCATTATATTAAGAGTTACAACAACCTATTGGAGTTTACTTCAGCATCAGGATGGTTCAATAGTGGAAACATTTTAATGTAAGAATTAACAAACCATGTAATTATCTTAATGGATCCAGAAAATTGTTTCAAAATAATGGCATTTTTAATTTAAAAATATTAAAACATAAATAAGTATGTATTTTTAACATGACAAAATGTATTTCTCCCTCAGCTCAAAAACAGCATCAGGTTTTTGGAGACAATCCCACCAAGGTCAAGGTAAGTTGAGAATGCCTACACTTTCTGGGGTTATTTACTGGGAATTTTAATGCATTTAGACAAGAAAAAACAATCAAAGATTTAGAAATTTTAAGGTTGGCGCCTTAATCTATTTTGTGCTGCCATAACATAATATCACAGACTGGTTTATAAACAATAAAAGCCTATTTCTCACAGTTCTGGAACCTGGGAATGTCCAAGGTTGAGGGGTTGACATCTGACAAGGCCAGATCATCCCATGGCCAAAGGTGGAAGGGAAAAAAGGATGAGAGGGAACACAGAAAGGGGCAAGCTGTGTTTTTTTCTTTACAAGGAATCAACTCATGCAACAACAAACCACCGCTATATGACAGCATTGTTCATTCACACAGGTGGTCCCCCCATGACCCACAGACTCTCATTAGGCTCTCCTCTCAGTATTATCATCTTGGGATCACATTTCCAGCACGTGAACTTTGGGGGACCCATTCAGCAGAAGGCAAAATTATCACTTTTTTTTTTTTTTTTTTTTTTGACAGGCAGAGTGGACAGTGAGAGAGAGAGACAGAGAGAAAGGTCTTCCTTTGCCATTGGTTCACCCTCCAATGGGCCGGTGCGCTGCGGCCAGCGCACTGCAATGATCCGAAGGCAGGAGCCAGGTGCTTCTCCTGGTCTCTCATGGGGTGCAGGGCCCAAGCACTTGGGCCATCCTCCACTGCACTCCCTGGCCACAGCAGAGAGCTGGACAGGAAGAGGGGCATCCGGGACAGAATCCGGCGCCCCGACAGGGACTAGAATCCGGGGTGCCGGCGCTGCAAGGCAGAGGATTAGCCTATTGAGCCGCGGCGCTGGCCAAAATTATCACTTTTTTAAAAAAAGATTTATTTATTTATTTGAAAATCAGTGTTACACAGAGAGAAGAGAGGCAGAGAGAGGTCTCCTATCCACTGGTTCACTCTCCAGTTGGCCACAATGGCTGGAGTTGCGCTGATCCATAAGCCAGGAGCCAGGAGCCTCCTCTGGGTCTCCCACGTGGGTGCAGGGGCCCAAAGACTTGGGCCATCTTCTACTGCTTTCCCAGGGCATAGCAGAAAACTGGATCAGAAGAGGAGCAGCCAGGACTCGAACCAGCTCCCATTTGGGATGCCGGCACCGCAGGCGGTGGCCTTACCTGCTACGCCACAGCACTGGCCCCAAAACTATCACTCTTACAAGATAAGGTGATTACCCCAGAGGATTCATTGTTAACCTCCTAGAAACAATAAAGGACATTCAGTAGATAACAGTGTATAAAATTAATAGAGAAGGACATATTTCTGGTGATGGAGACATAAAAAGGATAGCAATGCATTCCCCAGAAAATGACCAAAAACTGAACAAAGTAATGAAATACAACCACTCGTGAGCATTAAAAATGTTGAGAAGCATTTACAATAACAAGGGAAAAGTGGGCTCGGTAGCAGGAAGAGGTGGTAGGGAAATTAATCAATAAGCCTAAATCAGTGAAGTGACTATGCAACAATGTCAAGAGGCTAGCGTACATATAACTGGAAATTTAGGAAAATATGGATGATGGACAGATAGATAGATGATAGAATATTTGAGGAAATAAATAACGTAAAGAAATCCAAAATTTTATTTAAAAAAGTCAACAAAACCATGAATTTGCAATGGTACCTGTTGTTACCCACATTGTGAGCTGAGCCTCCCCCACCCCCGCCACCCTTGTTTCCTCTCTCCCAGCGTGGCCAGTGGGATGTGGTGATGCTTGCTGCCTCTTCAGCTCCCTGGCGGTCTTGCAGGACTCTGAGCAGTGAAAACTGCCCCAAGTGTGATGCTCTGTAATGTCTGAGTTCCCATGTACCCTGATGCTGATAGTCTCAAAACTGTGTGATTTTTGTCCTTCTCTATTTAGACAAGTACAAAAGTATAATTTTTGTCTTTCTATTTGGATGAGTCAGTATATGCAATTGTATCATTTATAACCTCACCATACAATTCAACATTATCGCCCACAATAATGTACCATCAGGTTAGCTGGATAGCCTGTGTTTAATACTACCCATTTTTAATTCTTTCGTTAACATAGGAACCTATTTTATTCTGCCTTATTTGTGTGTAAGATTGCCTTAAGTGGGGCATCCCATATGGTGCCAATTCAAGTTCTGGCTGCTCCACTTCTGATCCAGCTCTCCGCTATGGCCTGGGAAAGCAGAAGAGGGCCCAACTCCTTGGGCCCCTTCACCCACATGAGAGACCTGGAAGAAGTTCCTGTCTCCCGGCTTTGGATCTGCCTAGCTCTGGCCATTGCAGCCATTTGGGGAGTGAACCAGCAGGTGGAAGACTGATTCTCTCTCTCTCTCTCTCTCTCTCTCTCTCTCCATCTCTCTCTGCCTCTCTGTAACTCTGCCTTTCAAATAAATATATAAATCTAAAAAAAAAAAAAAAGATTGCCTTAAGTTTTATATGCAGACAAACCTAAGACTAGTTGTTGTCCATGGATTACTGGCTCTCCACAGATGAGAATTCATATGTTTAATGGAGAAATTCATGAAGTGAAAACACTGGGGAAATTGTTTAACCTAGCAGTTAAGATGCCCCATCCTCCGCTACACACAGCTCCAGCTCCTGACTCCGGCTTCCTGCTGATTCAGACCTTGGGAGGCAGCAGTGATAGCTGCCTAAGTCCTTGCCACCTACATGGGAGACCTGGATGGCATTCCCCTCACTGGCATTTTAGGATTGAACCAGTGAATAGGAGCATTTTCTCTTTGTGTATGTGCATGTGAGTGTGCCTGCTTCTCAAATAAGTAAAACTTAAGGAAAAAAAAAAGAAAGAAAATACCACAAAAGGGAATGGGAAAGAAGTAAAATTAGACATGTGAATTTATTTTCCCTTTTATTTTGGAAGCCATGGTGACTGAGATCTCCGAATGAACTATGGAATATGCCAACACAGACTCAGATGCCTCTCTGAAGGAACAAATCCCTTTGATGTATTCGGTTCCTTTTCCTACAGGATGGTTTTTCCACACAATTTGTTTGCCAACTGCAATTAAGGTTTTGTATAAACCATAATACAATGAACAGACTGGTTGTCCAGTGGAAATGACCTTCTAATGTATGGTCTAGCCTTTGTCCAAATGCCTGGCTGTTGCTGGGTTTGGGATTACAATCCTCAAAACTTCAAAATTAGAATGATAGGCCTCAAAGAAGCTCAGAGTTTTGGCCAATCCCTCACAATTCTAGTCCCCCCAAGTGTGTATTTTGTGGGCACCATCTGTAAGGGACAAGACCCAAGTCTGTACCCCCACTTTTCTGCATCTGCTTTCCTGTGCATCTACTCATGGAAATAGTTTTGTTGTGGTGCCTTTCTTTGACAGAGCGTTTTGCAATTGTTAATGAGGCAGAAAATTCATCACACATTTCAAAGAAATCACACCCATCTTAGCACTTGCTTTTTACAAGCCACATCCTTGAAATAATGGATGTGTTCCTAAAAAGCTATCGCTTTAATTTTTGAATCCTGAACTGATTTTGTATTAGTGAAGAACACTACTTAAAGGAGGCCCAGTGTGAATTATTTGTCATTGATTTTTTTCTGTAGGCTTGTACTTATAAAAGGATTTTCTTAAATAGGATTATTTCAGATTGCCCCAACAACATTTACAAGGCAGATGTTTTTACCATAAAAAGATGATAAATATTTGAGGAGATGGATATGTTTACCCTGATTTAAACTTTATACACAATGTATATATCTATCAAAATGTCACACAGTACCCTATAAATATGTACAATTTTTACGTGTCAGTTAAAAACTTTTAAAAGTACATGTGAAAAATAATTATTTCAAATTGCCAATTACTTAGAAATGTAGGTTTCAGCATTAAAGTTGTGTACCAATAAGTATAAAACTGTTGTTTAACATATTAACTTCAACTTGAGAGTGTATCATAGATAAGATTATATTATTATATTATTAACATATATTTATTATTTATATTTCATATGATTACCTTACCTCATAATTATATACTCATATATAACAGAAAATAGAAATATAAAATCTAAAAGTAGAATATATTTATACCTAAATACATGCAGTATGTATTATTAAAGTAGAAAGGAAATTTTTCATTCTATTTAAATTTTCCTAGACATTTTAAATTTGAACTCTGAAAACTATCTTAGAAAAATCATTAATTTTACCTGTCCCTTTCTCTACTTTTTCTGAACTGTTTGTACCTCCCAATATAATTCAAATATGAAAATTACTTTTTCCACTGAAAATTTCAGGCCTTTATATAATAATGTCTATTTTTAATATTCCTAACCCATTGATATAATAGTCATTATAAATTCAGCAGCATTTTTAAGGTGGTAAAAATCATCATTATTGAGGCCAGCATTGTGGTGCAGCAGACTGTGTTGTGGCTTGCAATGCTAGCATCCCATATCTAAGTGCCAGTTTGATTCCCAGCTGCTCCGCTTCCATTCCCACTCCCTGTTAATGCTGCTGGCAAGGCAGTGGACCCCTTAACACCCATGTCAGAGATGCAGATGGAGCTCCTGACTCCTAGCTTTGGCCTGGCCTGGAACTGGTTGTTTTAGCTGTTTGGGGAGTGACTAGCAATAGAAGATCTCTCTATCTCCTTCCTTTTTTTATAACTCTATCTTTCAAATAAATAAATACATTTTTTAAAAGTAATTATAGCTTTTAAATGATTTTTTTAAAAAGGAAAATGCACATACAGTTTTAAAAATCTAATTGCGTAGCCGGCGCCATGGCTCAATAGGCTAATCCTCCACCTAGCGGCGCCGGCACACCGGGTTCTAGTCCTAGTCGGGGCGCCAGATTCTTTTCCGGTTGCCCCTCTTCCAGGCCAGCTCTGCTGTGGCCCAGGAAGGCAGTGGAGGATGGCCCAAGTGCTTGGGCCCTGCACCCCATGAGAGACCAGGAAAAGCACCTGGCTCCTGCCTTTGGATCAGCCCGGTGCGCCGGCCGCAGTGCACCAGCC